CCTTCTGGCTTTCCTACCAATATCCTATACGCATTCCTCGTCTTCATTCGTGCTACATTCCCTGCCCACCTCTTTCTCCTTCACTTGATCATTCTAATTATACTTGGAGAAGAACACAAGTTATGAAGCTCCTCATTATGTAGTTTTATCCAACCTTCTGTCACTTCATCTCTCTTCAGTCCAAATATTCTCCTCAACACCCTGTTCTCGAACACCCTCAGTCTATGTTCCTCCCTTAATGTCAGAGACCAAGTATCACACACATACAGAACAACAGGTAAAATTATAGTTTTGTACATTCTAATTTTTATATTTTTGGACAGAAAATGAGAAGGCAAAAGGTTCTGGACTGAATGGTAGCAAGCATTGCCCGAGTTCAGTCGCCTCTTAATTTCCTCCTGAATCAGGTTTCGATCTGTTATCGTTGCTCCTAAATATCTGAACTGTGCCACATTTTCAAAACATCTGTTTCCTATTTTTATATCATGATTTTGCCCTGCATTTTGGTTGCAAGACAGCAACATATACTTAGTTTTCTTTGTGTTTACTTCTAGACCAACCTCCTTACTTGCGTCAATTAAAGTCTGTGTGTTTTCTTTATGGTATCTACATTATCACCCAGTAGATTCACATCATCGGATTAGACCAACAGCTGATGTGTCCCGTTTAAGTTCAGTCCCACCTGGTTTCCCTGGACCTTCCTAATTGCATATTCTAAAGCAAAGTTGAAAAGGAGTGACGATAAAGTATCTCCTTGTTTTAGACCATTCTGCATTGGAAATTTATCAGACAAATATTTACCAATACGGACTTTACTATACGTTTCGTTTAAACACATTTTAATCAACCTGACTAGTTTCATGTGTATCCCAAACTCCATCAGAATATTGTACAATACTAACTGAATTATAGGCTTTCCTGAAGTCTACAAATAGCTGATATACTGTCTCATTGTAATCCCATTTTTCTGCAGTATCTGACGAGTGCAAAAGATCTGATTTGTAGTTGTTATGTATAAAGGGGGTGGCTTGCTAATAAAATAATACTAAATTACTCTCAGCTAGGATTCTCCTGGCTCCGGACCTCCTTCGTTACATACAGCTGCCGTTGACTGCCTGGGATCAATTCTGCTTTCTCCTGGACTGGGATAGCCCTGGGTCGGTCACGGAAAGGGTGAGATGGTGGCGGGGTGAATCAAGACTCTCTGTGTACATCCTACCCTAATTACTCTGTCTATTTACACTCTTATTTACAATAAGTGAGGCCGACTTTCGGACGGTTTACATAACATCGTTCTCCGTTCGATCTTACTCTTATTTTAATTTCCCTTTCGAGGGTTATGCCGTGAGACTGTTGCTTCCCTCCATTACCTGTCACTCGATACAAATTTCTACCCTATTCCACACTGGCACTTGCAGGGCCCCTGGAGATTGCACTTCTAGTTCACACAACAACACTGAATTTAATTAGAATGGCTAGTATGAGTAAAGAGACTTACTTGAAATTGAGACGCAGATAAGTATCGCCACACACCATCTTGTAGTACCCATGTCGGACAGAGCCTCCGGCTGCTGGTTGAATATCACGTTTTTAGATCTTTATTTTTCTGAAAGTCTTTCTTTCGCTCTTTATACCAAAAAAACTGCTCACGCAGCAGCTAACCAAAGAGGTAGGTTAACTCCTCCATTTGTCATAAAATTCGAGGCGGCGGATTTTCATTAGTTAACCCCTTTGGTGGTGGGCGAACCCGCTGCGTCTCTTCGCTGTGTATTTGACAATTTCATTTTGCTCCGTGGCTTAGTTAGGCGGGCTTGCAGTGGAGCGATTATGCATTTCTGCTGACTTAAACATTCTTGACCTAGATCTCTTGTCCAGGTGTTGCCATCATTGCTCTAATTGCTATAAAACGCTTTCGCAAGTCTCGTAACATTTAGGCAATGTCTTTGATTTTCAGTCTCGAAATTGGGCCATAACAGTAGTTGATCTGTTTCATTAAAACCTATAATCCTACGATATACATGTACATGTACTCATTGCTGAGAGCGTCATTAAATAAACACCTTAAAAAGGAAAGCAACAAACAATTCAATTCAATCATTTTATTAATTAACAATTTAATTTCGTGTCCTTATAATAAATAGAAATTTAAAATAAGACAAACTTGACTGAAGTTGACCTAGGCTGGCCTCTATGGTGAAGTGGTCACTTCCTGCCTACAGATCCAGAGGTTCTGCGTTCGATTCCCGGCACTACCAGATTTTCTGTGAAGTAGCGGGTCTGAAACAGGGTCCACTGAACCTTGTGAGGATAATTGAGGAGTTGTTTCAACGAAATAGCGGCTCCGGTCTAGAAAAGTAAGAGTAAGGGCCGTGGGGATGCGTTGTACTGACCAGGTGACACCCTCTATCCGCAAAAGTCGGCAAGTGGCGGTCGCTCGGTCGGTATATTTCTCTTATGGACTACAGACCACGGAGTTTATTTTAACTGTCAAGGGGAGCGAAAAAACACACTTCAAATTACCTCATCTTGAAGAACAAGCACGACCTCTTCTTTTTTTGACTGATAACTTGACGGGAATTTAAACTTTTTTTTTGTAATAAGGACCTTCAAAACATGGACGATATATGAGAAATATTAGCCGAATTTTTTGAACGGAATATTTCACTGCTGTGTAAGATCAGATCACTATAGATGAAGCCTTAGAACCAGCTATGCAAGTGTTACGTTGTGTATTAATCTAATTTATTAGCTTTATCAAACATTTTGTGGAGTACGTGAAAATTCACCTTCAATTTGTCTGTAAAGCTTTAAGCTCTATAGGCCTGTAAATTCTGTGTGGTATGAGAACATTACATGAGAGTACGTGAGACGTAGCACATACAAAACGGTATTCTTTGTGGAGTTTAATATTTTCAGTTCAGATTCATAGGGACTATTTTCTTCGAGAGTAATTAATTAGACATAATTTCAAGGTCAAATAATCAACTTTCCGAGGAAGAACCCTAAAGAGGATACCATGGAAATAAAGCCTGGGATATATAAGAAATTTATTGATCAATATCTTTATTTAATTGTATCCCGTGCAGAATATTTCAGAAAATAGGCATCTAGAATTTTCTTCAGTGTTAATACTTATATCTTCTTTGTGTTGCCCTTATCACACCTACTTACATTACAAAATATTTGTTGCAAGTGCAGATAGAAGAACTACTTGTCTTTACTCAAAATATTGCTATTAAGAGACGCCTAAGATCATACGCATTATTTTTAAAACAACACCAGAGGAGCAGCATTCCTGCTTTGTCATACAGGTTTAGGATTCACTTATCAACCTGGAGACTGCTATGCCGGTTGTGGATTCTTGTGGTTTCCCTCAAATGTTGCAGGCAAATATAGGTGTATAACATAATTAGCCTAGTGTCACTTTCTTGCAGAACTTTTTCAAACTTAATGCTGCGAGATCTGAGTTACTAAAAGCGCCTTTAGAAACACATGTTTTAGATGCATAGGTATTTTAGTATTTCGATTTGGTCTGGGAATTTAGTTTCAGTTTATTTTTTTTTTCGTCCGCTGGTTGGCACAGGATAAGAGCAGTACGAAATAAGGATTAGATCTGTTAGTAAAACAGTTTAAATATTTTCTTGCTTTGGCCATGCATGATTCGTTTTTCTTAGGATTTGACCGCATCGAATCAAATTCAAGTCGTGTTGTAGGCAGGTCGACCACATTTATAGGAAGAAAATCCGGAAGGCCTCTGGTGCGAAGTAAATATCCACGTAAGTTGAGCGATTTCGTACTTGAAACAAATATCACGTATATCCATGATTCCTGAATTATTTAATCAGTTCATATTTATTATTAGTCACTGTCCTTTGCAATTATGAAATATAGATTTATGTGTGCGACGAAGTATTTATCTAGGTGCCAAGTTGTTTACATAATTAATTTTTCATTTTATCTTCAGATGAGTTTAGAAATGGACAGTTAAATGGTTTACTCAAGTGGCCGGTTTTTTTTTGCTAGGAAATTAATGAGTTGCTCGTCTCAGGTCCATATTCGCTAGGTACAGTACATTTCCATAAACTAGGCTGTGAAGATTGGTTCAAGGGTGTAAAATAAATGTAAAGTTATCCTTGTGCTTAACAAATTAAACACTAGGCCATGAAGGCGTATGGGGGAGTGGATGTCTAGATCCACATTTTTTTACTTCGACACTAACTGGATATGAGTGGTCAGCTTGTCTCCCCCGCCACTTTCCCCCCCCAGTATCAATTGGGTAGGCTGGGTGGGCCCCAGTATCGGTCTGGACGACGTGGAGAAGAGAAAACTCTTGACGCTACCGGGACTCGAAAGTTGACCTTTCGATCATCCAGCCCGTAGCCAGTCGCTATATCGAATACGCTAGTCAAGGTTGTATAATTATTATCTTCATAGAGATTTGCTGAGTTAACTGATATTCAGGTTTTACGTTTGTTTTCACTTGCATGTTGTGGGAGTCTGGAATAAATATTGAAGTTGAACTGGATTCAAATCAATTAACTAATGAAGATGACAGAATTATTCACTCGAGTAGATGTATCTTAATCTACATAAATATCAGTTTATATGTGGGACAGTCACTCGCAACTTTGTAAAGCAAAATTTATAAAGTTGGAACAAAATATGGAAGTTTTGATATTTTAATTGCATTCGTGCCAAAGCTTGGCCAGTGTTAGGTGTCCAACAGAGATATCAGATCTAGGAGTCCATCACCGAAGGGACAGGTCGGGTAGGCCTGGCGGCAGTCTCCACCCCCTTCTCCGTGACGTCTCGCCTCGTGGTAGTCCCAGTCGACATGTTCTTCGGTGTTGAAGCCATATCCTGGCCTGTTGGCATTTAAATTTAAAGCTAAAGTAAGGGCGGAAATTTATACACGAAGTATACACAAGTATAATTATTTATTTGTGTTAATTTTGGTACTAGGCGCGTTTCCATGCCCGCAGAACTCATATGAAAATTGCTACGTACATCCATTGTTCTCTCTGTACGCACGGAAGGTTTCAATTTAATTTGATTTTTGAGAATTTTAACGAAAATTATTTACTTATTTTAATATTAATTTTAATCAGACAGTTATAACGATCGCTTTGTACCAAAAAGCACACGAATTTTTACTCTCATCTTAAGTGTAATCCTGATAAAATTTACTATAATATAAATTAACAAATGTATTCTGTACATTTTCTAGCCTACAGAAGGCGGGAGGAGAAAAGTGGTCAGTTTGGAGAAAGAAAAGGCGGTAGATAGGACGCAGATGGTGAATGAGGTCCCAGCCGAGTGTTATCAAGTGTTTGGAGTTGTAAATCATCCAGAGCAAGCACAGAGCTTTGCTGTACGCAGCCGTCTCACTGGACTCGACGCAATCCACACGAAAATGGGTGGAACAATGCCCGTAACAGAACGCTTAGGAACTGCCAAGCAAAGGTCTTTGTTGAAGGTCATCCTAAGAGCTGAACTCACATTAT